AGATCAAGCAGTGTGTCTAAGCTGTACATAAACCTTGGAATGGCCCTGGAATGCACACAGTTATTCTCAGGATACTGTGCTGAATGGGAAAATGTGCTCGCTGCATTTGCAGTAGCTCATTACTTCAGATTGCTTTTTAGCAACAGGTGATTTCTTTATCACTTTCAGTTCAAATGGAGGTTGCCATTGTCCATTTTCACTGTGGATTATGTTCTGCTTTGCTTTGCTGACTGCACAGCCAAATCCCAATCCAAAGAACTGTCTTAACATTGCAAGGACAGCAGCAGGAGGAATGTTCTTGAGTTGTGACAACAGAGTAGTTGGACAGCGTCTGTGTAGGTAGCTGGTTGTGTGTGGTTTGGTTGTTCTAGGATGTATCTCCCCCCAAAATTCGAGCTGTCATTTTGACACCGCCTAATTATTGCTCTTGAGAAGCCTGGACTGTTTAACAGTGGCTGTGGGTTTCTTGTTCCCCCTGCAGTCATTTGGCCTGCGACGAAGAGAGAGTGGAGGAGGCCAAGCTGCTGGTGTCTCACGGGGCAAGCATTCACATTGAGAACAAAGAAGAGCTGACCCCACTGAAAGTGGCAAAGGGTGGCCTGGGAGCCATACTTAAAAGGATGGTGGAGGGCTAGTGGGGGCTTCCCACTCGAGCCTCTCTCCTGTCGCACTTATATTTAATTAAGACTGCAGACTTCGTATTTTGATATTTCAACCAGGATGTCGTGTGTGGGTATCGGCATGGTAATAAAATGTTTTTATTGAAGCTGTCCTTCAAGTGCAGTGCCAAAACAACTGTTTGTACTTCCTGTTAATTAAATAGTTCACTGATTTTAAGGTATTTTTCAATATCTTACAGTTTTCTTTCAGTTTACAGTACGATTTGTATAAATGTGGTCATTGTATGTCAGATCTTAGTTCAGAATTATTTCATTCAAGCAACAGGACCAAAAATGCTTTAAAAATTTAAAGCAAATTTAATTTTGGAAGCTTGTCCTAGAGTCTTTGGTTTTGCCCTTAGCCTTTGTGATTTGTGTGTGGGATTGTATTTAGGTTTTGTGGGTACAAATTGTCTTTCTTCAGATGATTCTAAACTACACCATATCTCCCTCTGTAGAATGCAGTTTGCTCAGTTGCTTAGGTAAATGTATCCAGTTTTGTTACTCTTGGTCTATTCAAGTGAGATCTGACTGTTTAAAGCTTTTTTTTGTTGTTGTTATTGATTATTATTCTGTTTCTCTGCATCTTTAAATACATGTATTTGATGAAGTGCACTGCTGCAGAACACAGCAGCAGTTTCAGGGTTACCTCTGCAAATCTAATGTTTTATAATGGATGGCTCTGGATAATTCTCTGGGATATACTTCAAATTTAATGTTTTTTCCTCTTGCTCCTTTTGTAGGTTCCTTTTTCTATTTTCTTTGACTCCCATATGCAGCACTGGCACTTGCAATTTACCATCTTGTTTTATAACAGAAACCTGGTTTAATCTCTACTTACTCATAGCAAATGCTGATATTAAGTTATTAGAAGGCAAAGCTAATGAGAGAGAGCCTGAAAAGTGACCTCCTGTCCTGATGTTGGTAAGAGCACTTTTGGCACCAGTGGATAGATTTCCCCTTGAACAAATGATGCTGGTAAAATTCTGTGAAATAAAGAACTTTCCTAAACGACAGTCTTTGGTATCATAAAACTTTATTGAACCTGTATGTAACAAAACCAATATTTTCTAAATAGCTTGTACAGCAAGTGAGATGCAACTTTGCCATCCATTCCACAGTGTGGGAATGCAACATATTTGATTTCAGCCTCAAGGAAAGGTTGAAAGGCAAGCTGGCAGTTTCTACAGGTTGACATGTAGGGCTTAAGGTAGTGCAATTTATTTTGATAAACAAGACAGAAACAACCAAATATCTTCACCAATGACTTTAAAACACCAATGACTCTTAGAACACAGAATGCAGGTTAAAATTCACTAAGGGGGCACACTGAGAGCAGGAGGGATAACTTGCCTGTACAGTAAGCTCTGGCCATGCAGACCTTGATTGAAGGATGAACCTGACTGAGTAAATGTGTCTTGTGTTCTTGTGTTTCTTGTTCAGCTGAAGTGAAGAGTTCTGTATTCATCCTTGATCTTTGTGGAGCAAAAAAACCCTGCCACAGCTCTGTGACATTCTTGTAAATACACTTCCCTAGAAGGTGGTAGCTTGAATGTTGGCTGAGTATCTGGTTTCCATGTTAATGATCCCCTCTCCCACAGGAGATGATAAATGGGCCATGCAGCAAAGACTGTTGGGACATCCAAGGCAAATTCTGAAAAATGTTTCTGTGTCCTGCGTGGCTCTGCAGGGTTTTGGAGCTACACACCGTGAATCAATTCCTAATTTGAATTGTGCCTTGCCCAGAGCATCAGTGGAAAGCTAGGAACAGTGCCCCATCATTTTTAGTAAACTTTTACAGACTTTATAGTGAGAACAAACACCTGCCAGAAGGCTTCCAGAAACACCTCAATATGTTAAGAAACTCTGCTTTGTTTCTTATTTTTGCCTTTTTATTTTTAATACTACCTATTACACACTGGTGGGTAGAAGTATGGGAGGAATCATTAGTCAAGAACTTGTGTTGAATTGTTCCTTTGTTTTATATAAAAATATTAACGTAACTTAAGCAGTTTCTTCTTTTTGAACAAATATAAACCCTGTGACATTCTTGGAAGATTGTATTAGCTACAGAAGGTAGTTACAACTTCACCCACATAAGCTCCTATCTTACTGCAGCAAGTTGTGTAAGGAATACCTGCAGATTAATTTGTGTAGGTGAGATTAAGGAAAGATTGGAAAAAATTATAGTAATGATCACATAATATAGTCTCCTCTTCAATCACAATAGTGCTGTTGCAGAGATGTGGAAGTTGGAAGGGTATTGCAGTAAGAAAAATGTTGCTAAGATGCATATATACAGAAGAAGGCTTTAGAAGAACTAATACAGCCATAGTGGTGACATGAAGACAGTTGTTTATAGTTTCCCACAAAAGGGAAAAAGAAAGCTTAGGAATATCAGATAAGAAATTATTTTAAATTATTGTGCTGCTGTCAGCCAAGTCGTGGGCTCCCTCAGACTAATGACTGATTTGAATTATATCATGGAGAAACACCTTTGGTAAGAAATAGCACCCAAACAGGAGTAGGTAGTCTCTCTCTTGCTGTTTCTGAGCATGTTTACTGTCATCATTCTGCATGTTGACACAACTTTGGGTGTCAATATCAGACTTCCTCAGTAAACTGCTCAGCCCAGATTGAAGGACGTGAGTTACGGATTTTGCTTGGCACAGTTGCCACAAAAGTCAACAAGAGCTGCCTGATTAAGGAGATCATGACTTAAAAGTTTACCCTGGATATTTAGGGAAGAGAGGAATGTGAGGATCCACTGGTAGAACATGGCAGTGTTGGTATTAGCAAGGGTTTGACCCTCACAGTTTTGGCACAAGCAGTTTTTAGTCTGGAATAGTGTAAGAACACTGTAAATGTCCTTCTGCTCTGGAATGAAGCTAAACACTATGACACACATAAAGATAAATATTTGAAAGCCAGAAAACTGTGTGGAAAGAGCAATGAATACAGTTATGCTTGAAGATCCCAAATGACTCTTAACTAGGACCTTATGCCTTACATCTTCTTTAAATGTTGCCATTTTTTTTTCTTTTTTTTCCTCCCTTTTTTTTTCCCCTTTTTCTTTCTAGTTTTGTTTTGGTTTTTGGGGGCTTTTGTGCTCACTTTCTCGATAAACATACTTAGAGCTGTAGGAACTGAACCTGCAAATTTTAGCCCAGAAACTTTAAAGATGAATGTTGCACATGTCTGATGTTTACAGGCTAAGAACAGTCACCGAGGGACTTATGCATGTTAGGTCCTATAAAAGATTTAAGTGCCAAAAAGTTCCAGATCCCTGAGCCAGATACCTTTTTGTGCAGTGCATGAGACTGAAACCAGTGTTTCCCTGAGTCAGTGAGGACCGTCCTCGTGCAGTTCAGAAGGGAGCTACTGAGGCTGTGGGTCTGTGTTCACCTGAGCCCCACAGTCCCTGAGGTTTTCTGACAGTGGAAAATCTTTGGAAAAAGCTTTTCAAAAAACTGTAACCTGAGAAATGAGGCCCAGAGAGTAGAGGTGTCTAGTGATCAAGGTGTGTGTGGCTCAGTTCCCTTTTCTCCTTCCAAGAGAGTGCTCATTACTTGACTGTTGGTTATGGCTGTGCTTTGCTCTACTCACCTTTCCTCTTGATGCTTTCACCTGTAGAAAACAGGCTGTTACACTGGGCTGAGAACCAGAAGAAAAGCAGCATGAGTTTGTTGCTCAGTAGGTAGGACAGTTGCCTGGAAATAGACTGAAATCATCTCAGGCAGAGGAAGCAATCGAAACTCGTGTGCTTTATAGTAGAAAGTATTATTTCTAAGTTTTGAAAGCAGCTGTATCTGCATGTCATGAGGAATCTGATGCTGTGCCTGCCTACTGGAACAAGCCTTGCAAGGGATTTAGATTTCCAGCTCCTGTTCTGTGGTAAACAGTCATTTGGTGTCTGAACTGGGTACCCCAGTGCCAGTTCCATTAAACAGAAAACCAGAACTGCTGGAACACACAGAACTCTGGAATGCTGGTGCCTTGGGAACTGTGAGCCAAGAAGGTCACTGTTAACAAAATGTATTCCATGTCAGGCAGCAACAGGGTAAAAGTTTCCAGGATCTTTTGTTTGTCTGTTTTAATTTAAGTAGAATTCAGACACACAAGATTTCATTGGCCCAGGTCTCAACATCTGTTTCTGCATTCTGATGACACTGATGTAACAGCTTTTTACTTCTGACGTGAAAAATCAGTTCCTTCGAACACTGCAATGTACTGACCATGAGGATTGTTCTTGGTACACAGGGAATAAGTTGGCCAACACTGTTTCTGGAGAAGGCTGCTGTGGTTCAGAACTGTGTGGATACACACAGCATTACTGGTAGTTGACTGGAAAGCTCTTACTTTGACAATTTCCTAATTAGTTTTGCAAAATAGGTTGGATAAACATGGATGATAGTCTTTTTATACTTACATTTTTGTACAGTTATAACTAGATAATAAAAGAAATTTGGCTAACTTTAAAGGCCAAATCTTCTGCTATTCACATGTAACAGACCCTTTTCAATCTCCAGCCCAGTGGTTCACAATGCAAATGCCCATTTAAGTTTTAGTCAAGCCTCTATGTTAATTCAATGACAACAATTTTTGTATAAAGGGGTCCAAAGCTGACAAGGAAAACTTAAAACTCTAGGCTGTTTCTTCTTTGTCTGCTTCTTGCTTCTCCTTGTTTTCAGGTGTTCCAGGGGCTGTTGGTTCATCCACGCTCGGGTATTCCATTGTTGCATTGCTGGAGGGAACTGTGGTCGCAGGAATGTTTTCTTCATTAGGTACCTGAACATAGTCTGCATTGGATTGTTTCTGAGCCATTTCTCTGCAGGAAGACAGGATTAGGATTGTGATTTCACACATGTCGAAATCCCATGTGCACCAGAGTCTCTCAAAAGGATGAACCTTTGTATTTGTTGTCTAAACAGTAACCCCCTCGTTATTATGACTGTGTAAAAAGGTAACAACATCCCTGCTGCTGAGACAGAAAGAAGGACAGAATATTAGCTAATAAGACCTCTGCATCACTGGTTTAAGTGATGTCACTAGAATAAAGGAGATTTTAGTACATTTAAATGCTAAGCCAGGAAAGTGGAAAGGGAAACTGAGCGATGGCAAACAATGTCTGAGGAGGGTAGCTAAACACACTGCTTGGTGTGAGCTTTCTGGGAAATTCCATGCAGATGTGGTGTCCTACTGAAGTGCATGAAAATAGAGTGCAGTCAGAAAAGATTTATGGAAAGGCTGAAATCTAGAAAAATATTCTAAAATATATTTAGTATTTTAGAAAATACTGCAATCTAGAAAAATATTTTTAGTAACAAGTATTAATTCAATTTATGTCACCCAAACAATAATAAACTCCCAATATGGAAGCACTGTCACATGCAAAAATATCAGGTGCTAGTAAGATTCAATGCAGTAAGATTTATTAGGATCTGAGCATAAAATTAAATGTTAATGCACAAAATTAAATGTTTCAATGTTAACGTCAATTGAAAGCAGAAATGAGGTGCATGAGTTACTGGCCACTGGTCTGGGTTAGCAGAATTCCATGACATATCCCTGTGATACAGGGAAGTAACAGTTTTTTTCTGGCCTCATCTGCACGTATTCATTTAGCATTTAACATGATGGGGCTAAATACATTCTGTACAGCACACCAGATTATCCCTATTCTGAAGACTTGACCGTTTAAGGTAAAAATGAGCAACCAAAGCAGAGAGGAAAAAACATCTCCAGAGCAGGATCAGAACGGACGTTCTGGGCTCCACTGTGTTGCCTAAACCTTGTGTTTCCTGTGATTTGAGATGCCTTGGAGTATCCCCCGTGTGTGTCCTGGCACTTTAGATAGCACTGAGATGAGCCCTCTGTGTTTAAATCCGGGTAAAGTTTGCTGAGGCGACCCTCAGCTGCTGTTTCTTTTTCACTCCCTCCACCCACTGTTCACAGAGCCCTGTTAACTTTTAAATATTAAGAGCTGATTTTCTAACTTGCCACTTCTAGCTTGTGTTGTTTAAAAACATTTACTTCACTATTTTAGATACTGCTAAGTAGTAGCTGCCTGTTAACATAAGGAAGAGGGTAATGGCAACTTCTGTTAGGAGAGCAACAGAGGAAAAGTCCCACAAAAGCACATGTGCTCACTCTGGAAGTTTTTCAAAACTTGTATTATTTACCCTTCCAAAATGTTTACAGTAATTGCATTTCACTTTAGTTCTGGATTACCAGCAGTGCTTTACAGAAATATTTGTCTTAAAATGAAGCAAACAGAAACTCTTACTGCATCTCATTATTTGGTGACTTCCTATTTTTTGCCTTCTTGGTTAAGACCCAGACGATAATGCAAATGACAGCAGCTGCCAGGATCGCTCCAATTAATGCTCCAGCAACAATACCACTGTCTGAATCTGGAAGGAAAAACACAAAGATTGCTTGACTTTATTTTTAAAAGTAGTAATATAGCAAAATTCCCACGGAAATTTAGTGCAGGAGCTTTTAGCAGAAAGAAGGCAGAAAGAATTGGATTCAAAGAACTCTTTCCAGCGGGGAGGCCAAAGGAAAGTGAGAATTATGTTTATGTGATCTTTGTTGCCTCCTCTTTCTTGTTGGTTAGCTCACAATCCCAACAAACTCTCTCTATGTCTGGCTAAGGGAAACTTTGGGCTGTAACACTGACAGCAGGTAAAAGCCTTTGCTCTTCAGTCCTTGCAAACACATTCTGAAATTCAAGTTGCCTTTATTTCTGTCTTTCAGCTGAGATATCAAATGTATGCTCTGATCATTTGTGAGCCTCTAAAGCCTTTTATTTCCACTTCAGTGCAGCTTCCAGCTCTGACCTGCTATTTTCAGGTCATAGTCCACTGAATCATTGAGTGACCATTTCATGGACATCTCTCATGGCTGGTTGTACAACATAGGCTTGGCTCTTGTTAAATATTACTGGTTCTGTGAAAAATATGCATGCAGGTGTGGTTGACCGCTGCTTGAGAACACTCAGGATAACGTATTCTTCTGTGACTGCAGTATTTTTAGCCAGTGGTTACATCTGCAGTGCCCCAGTCCTTGTACTACCACGTTTCAGTGATGGTTTTAATTTCTGGGGTAAGGGGACCTCAGTGGGACTGATGGCTGGAAGAAATTTGCCCAAACTCTATGTCTGTCCATTGTCAGTAAAGGCTCTGCAGTCAGAACTGGGTCCAGCTGCTCCTCCCTGTGGGAATTAAGCTGGAGATGTTAAACCAGTTTTCTAGGTCAGTGTAAATTCTGGGCACGCCTGGATGAAAACTCCAGAGCTCTCCAAATCCTGTTGTGTTCTTACTTGAAGGGAAAAACAAAAAAAATCTCTGCTTCAAAGCTGTTAGAGCATTCTCCTGCAAAGCTGTGCATGCCCTGCATCAGAGATGTGGCTGCTTTCATGCGTTAAACTCACGTTTTGCTGTCAGGTCGAGCTCACAGGTGCTGTTCCCCAGCACGTTGCTGGCTACGCAGCGGTAATAGCCAGTTTCAAAGGCGGTGAGATTGCCAATGTAAAGAATGCCGGTGTTTGGATCTGTGACAAACAGGGGACAGGTACGAGTTACTGTTTGTATTCGGTGGAGGCAAACAGTTCTCTGTAGGTGGTAACACTGAGAGCTATTCAGAGATTAGAAACAGAGTTCTCTGATTATTTGGTTATTTGGTGTGGTTTTTTTAATATTCTTTCAGTAAAAACCATTTCTCTTCCTTGAAAATTGCTCCGGTGGATTCTGCAAAGGCATAAATGTTTCTCCCATTTTAACAATTTAAGGTAATGGCATAGATAAGACTTCAACATGCCACACGTTTTTTTATTAAACAGGAAAAGTGTCCTTTGTTTTTGACAGCTGTTGGGCAACTTGAATAAGTAAAAATACAATTTTGTGACATTCACCGTCAGAAGAAGAGGATCAATTTTAATTAGGCTATGTGGTACACAGTGTTTGGAATGTTGGTACTAGGGAATTTCAGATCTTGGACACAGTGTAGTTACGTACTAAATTGTTCAGTGGCAGGCTTGAGGGTGTTCTCCTCGACTCTGTACCAGCGGTAGGTGGGATGAGGCAATCCCTCTTCACATCTGCATAGGAGGTAGATTAGATGCCCTTTTTCAGGTGTTCCTTCTATTTTGCAGAAAGGTGTTGATGGTTTGACTGTAAAATAACAATGAGGAGAACAGACACATCATGAGTGCCTACCTGGGGCTGCAATAATCCACTTTGACTTCTGGTACAGTGCTGTAATTCCATTTACAGATTTCCATCCATGATCAGAGTCTTATTTATGGATCTAACCAAAGCCTCTCCCATAAAAAATTGAGTAATATTAAATACATGTACATGCCCTAGGATACAGTTTGCACACTAACTGTTATTATGGAGGTGTTGAGATAAAGACTATGAACTACTTTCATTATAATGAAATGAGGCCACTCACTATTTCTGATACACCATTCTGCCACATAAAAGCATCATTTTTTTTTAGGGACATGGCAGGAGCTTTTCCACAGAAAGGGAAAGGATCAAGGCTTGATTCTTCAGTATATTACAGCTGTGGAAGAAATAAATCAACTACAGTTCTGTTAAAAAATATATATGTTTTGATTTCATTTCCTCACTTTTCACACAAGGGAGGATTCTGTCTTCACTTACACTTACTGTTTTTCATTTCCTACCCACAGAAACGCTGTTGTAGTTCTTTTGAGCACTGTCAGGGAAACTCTGCCATCAATGAGCTCAGCCCAATTTTGTGTGCATAAATGAACAACCTTCCTTGGTTTTCGTGTGAAAAGTGCAATCTCTAACTCTACTGCTCCAATATTTACTACTCATTCTGGGAATTATAGATGAAAGTTATCTGTGGTATTTTGATTTTTCAGACAATGAGTTTACATGTATCTTTTTCTTACCCCTGGAAGATTGGCAAGTGAGGTTGGAATTATGTTTCTTTATGACTGTGATTTGTCATTCTGGCCTTGTATGAATTCTCAAGACAATCAGTGATTGGATGGGGTTAGTACAAACTTTTGTCTTATTAAGATGTAAAATATCTATTTCCACAGCTTTTCATCCTTTCTGTCCTGCCTGGTCATGTTCAAACTATTGCTTTCTTCCATCCACAACACACTTCCTACTACTTCCATCCAACACATCCGAAGTTTCTAGAGCTCTTGGGAATTGGTGTGAGCCAGAACTCTTGGGCTGTACTGCTGCCTCTCCCTGGATTTATGCAAATCACCATGACCAACATTAGGTAAAATTTATGATGTTTTGGTCTTTTCTGGGGCTGCATGTACTGATTTCAGAGAGAAGTCGTCCCTTCCAGCTAAAAGGGTGTTTTATTTTAATCTGAGCTAGCATCACTCTGTTTTCCAACACAAAAAGCAGAGTGAGGCCGGGTAATTCCAGCCACCCTCTTGCCTGCTCACAGGAGGTAAGTTTTTGAGAGCACAAAGTGAACCTGAAGGCCACTGGTGGGAGGGTGAGATGTGGCTGCAGGTCAGGCAAGGGCAGCTGTGCAGTGGCAGCAGGTCCTCTCTGGCTGGAAGCTAGAGGGCACCCAGGCTCTGCTGCCTCCAGAGCCCTGCAAACCATCTGCGTCAGTGCATCTGGGAGCCTCTCCCTGCATCACCAGCCTTGTTTACCACAGCTCTGTTATCCCCTCTGGCCCTGCGTACTCTGAGCAGTGTTTCATAACACGGGAAGCAAACGGCGATCCAGCGACAGAGGGGGAAGGCACTTACCCAGCACACTGACAATCACGGATTTCTGACTCTGTCCAGCATCGCCCTGAGGGCTGAAAACTTCACAGGTGTAGGAACCGGTGTCTGAGGGCTGCATGTTGGAAATTGTTATTGATGCATTCCCTGGACTTGTTGCAGCTGTTATCCTGTTCTTAAATGCTCCATAGGAGTAAGACTGGCCTCCTGAATAATAATAGATCTGTGATAAAGAATCGGTTGTTAGTTTAATAACAAGAGATCTTCTTGCTGCTTGGTTTGGTACTCATAAGATTGCTGATTGCTGATTAAGCCAAGCAGTGTCTTGCCCCTGTCTTGCTCCCTTTCCCAAGAAAGCAGAAATAAAAACATAATACATTTGAATGTATATTTGTAATGGTTCTTAAAAGACAAGCTTTTCAGAAATGGCATGTTTAATTGTCTAATTGACAGTAGCTAGATCGAAGCACAGACTGATGCATTTGCAAAACAAAGGTGAGACCATTGACCATAAATGACAGTTCTGTGAAAAAATGCTGTTGTGGACAGTGAATAGTGATATCAATTGAAATACTGATAATTTGTGATAATATTAATAAATGGCTCAACAGAAGATTATGACAAGGATGGACCTGCCATTGCAAAAACTGGGTGACAGTTCCCTGGTGTCTACGCCCCCAAACTGGGCAAAGTGAACAGTTCCAGCACACTCAGTCATTTCTTTAAGCTGCAGAGAGGTAACCATATAGAATTACAGGTTGTGACCCAAGTAGATATACCATTGTTCCTGCTGACATTCCAGAACCAGCAGTGTAAACGTATTTATTGAAGTTGAACTAACAGCATGTTTTTTAATGGAAATAGTGGGAAAATGTTTATGGGAAAAAGCTTCACAGACTCCTCTGAAATGCCATTCACACCTGACTAGTATCAAAATTTCCTGTTGGTCAAAGTTCTCTGCCTTTTAGGGACACTGCAGATCCCCAGGCGAGAAATATAATTTGCTTTACTTTGCAGATCAACTGATTGCATTTTGAATTAAGAATATTTATTCTTAATCCTGTTTATCCACCCTGATACGGTATTGACTGAAGTCTTTAAGCAATGTTATCTAAAAGCCTTTATTAGCTCAAGGCAAGGTACACCCCAAAACTGTCGGAGCACGGCTGGTTTATGCAATGATACGGCTTTGAAATGAAGGTCAGAACCCAACCTACACAGCACCAGCAGCTCCAGGGCTGCAGCTCAGCCCCATCTTAAGTGCAGTTCTGCATACTCCTCAGCCAGCCTTTATCGTTCCCTGCCCCAGGATTACAAACACCAGGTACAATTGCTGCAGGGCTCTGAACACCGAAGCATTCCAGAGGTGTGGGACCCTGGTGTTGCAGGGAGGGAGCATGAGAGGTCCAGGGGTAGCACAGTGACAGACTGGGTTACAAAGTCTGGGCACAGCTGGAGACACTCCCTCGTTTCCATTATGTGCATGTGATACCATCAGTTTTCAAACTGATTTTATGCTTTGCAAACGTTTAGAGATGTATCTCTATTGCAGAACTAAGATCTGGATGCACACTCGGTGTATTCCCCAGGGAAGGAGAGCATTCAAAATAGGGAGCTCGGTTTAAACAAATTGCTCATCAAAAACCTGGTCTGCCTGGAATTGCAAAAACACACTGGCCACACTGGTCTCATCCTACATTTATCTGAGTATGAGCACCAGCAAAGTGTTATTTATCGCTGTCTGAAGTTATAAGAACTGTGACTTCTGACTTCAGGCTCCTCTTAAGCTGTTGTCCCTAGATAGCTCTCAACAGTGATGGGCTGGATTTCCATCTCCATCAACCGCACCTGTTGGAGCTTCCATCAGCTCTTTACACTAATGTGAAATCAGGTTCTACAATGATCTAAATGAAGTAATCTGTGTCTCACCACAGCATGAGAGGAGTGGCAGGCCCTTCATACCCTACTAAAAGGCCTGATTGCTGGAAAAAGGGGCTAAATACTACTCAGCCTAACTCAGAGTGATTTGGGATTTAGGTGAGAGTAAAGAGTAGCAGGAGGTGTCAATTAGCTTAGCTACAGCACATGTTCCTGGGAAACAGGACTGGCACTGAGTCTGAAATGCAGTCAGGGCGTGCCAATAAACACTGCAGAGGAGCAAGCCCTCCTTGGTATAGCTGACCTGGAGTCCAGGTGAGTGACGTGTTAAAGTCCTCATACAATGCACTGAGAAATTAATTCCTTGTGTTCTCGCTTTCTGATTGAATGAATGCTGTGAAAATATTTTGTGTACACTACTAAATCTGCGGCAGGTGTCAACACAGCAGAGACTATTTTTTTTCTTCATGGATTTAAACAGAGTCTTTCTGGGTTGTTTTTTTTTTTGTTTGTTTCAAGTATGAACATAAAGGAGGTGGAACATCCTCAGGTAATTCAGTTCCTCTGCAGGCTCCTGCCTGTTCTCTGTTCTGCTCCTGTTCGATGCTTATCTTGCTGGCTCTGGAGTTCATTGCCTGAAGGAAGGTGGTAAACACCAAAAAAGGCTGAGTAATGTTGTGATTAATTACTGAGTGTATATCTTGTCCCAGAGGTATGATTGGATTGTGTACACAGGAAATTTCATTTAAGAGGAACAAGTTTTAATTAATTGGCTGTGAATTCACAGCCCATTTTAAACAATACACTCAAAATGGCTATTTTAAATCTTTGTTCAAAGTGGGTTTATGGTGTCCTTTAAAAGCTTGTTTGTGGCCCTCAAAAAACTCAAATTATATCTTTGTAAAAATGTTTCTGTTCCAATTCAAGAGTAAAAAAACTTGTTTTCTGTTGAAGATATGGAAGACTATTTTTGGGCAACTGACAGTTAATATTTCCTCCTACAGAGACACATCTCATTGACATTTCTTTCCATTTTGCCTAAAATGTCTGTATGGGAAAACTGTATTTAGTCAGTGGCAGACTTTTTCTGGAAGCCTTTTAATCTGATGTGATAAATATATTTTAAGTGCACCATCTTGAATGCAAAAAATGCGAAAGGAATCTGTGTTTCTCTTGAAAAAATACACTTTTCATGTCCTGAAGCAAATCACGAGCAGCTCTAGTGGAGTCAATGATTTACCAGAGTAGAAACAATCTTGAAGGTGCAGTAATGGTTGCTGCTTCCCATTTCCAGCTAGTTTGCTCAGGCAAGTTTTTATATTAATGGTGCCTTTTCACATTTAATGTGAGCAGCTGCCTGGGATGACTAATCAAACAACTGACACAAAAAGAGCGGAGATTATCACTCCTAAAACTGCTGTCCCTAATGACTGCACAGTCTGAGACACCAGTTTCTGCCAAGTTGCCCAGAAAACATCTCCCTGACCTTAGAAAGGGTTGCAGTTCAGTTGGTTACTCATCCTGTGGGCCAGGTGGTGCCTGGAGCTGCTGTCAGCACCCACCCATCCTCGTGGGCTTTCCAAGGCAGTGGTGCAGTTACTCTGCATTTCCACAGGCAGTTTCTGCTGCAACCAAGAAAAGGATTTTGGCTCATAGGCTCCCAAGGCAGTTGAGTCCATTATTTGTGTACCTGTTTGGAGTAGCTGGTTTACAAACAGACCAGGGAATTGGGAATGATCACACTCATTTGGAAGAAAATCTCGGTGATCTCAATGCACTCCAGATGCTGGAGACGATATTATTTGTGTCCCAAATTCTGGAGGATCGGGTATGTGAGATCACATGTGCTTTTCTTCTCCTTTAGCCTGACTTGTGGAGAGGCTGCTCCTTTTCTAGAGGGATGGTGAGGAACGTTTTTGCCTGCAGAGGAAGCAGTTGGCAAAGCTGATGCTGAGTTGAAGATTTTCAAAAGCTGCCAGATGTTTGGCAGAGTGTGAGGAGCCCGACTGCAGGTTTTCTTTATACAAATTCTATAGAAATATCTTCCTTAGGGTGTGGAGGGGGTGTGTGAGAAAGCAATCAGTAAATTAGGAGAAACTTGCTTCCATCTGCTTCCTTTCTTCTCGGGGCAGGACAAATATATACTAGGATTTGCATAAATATGTGTCTTTCAAATGTCTTTGGATGGACTGATTCATAATTTCCAGGTCAATACTCCTCCCATCCCCCCTCTCCTGGAGTCACTGCATCCCGTTGCTGTACATGCCCAGTGCATATGGATATCAAAGCTATAAGATAAGATGTACTTGAAGATGTGTTAGAAAATGTTTACTTAATCTCCACAGAACTCTTGACTTCCTGACTTGAGGGGCAGTTTCAGGACACGACTTCCTTTCCAATTCCCTCCCCCAGCCCCTTCTCCCTTTCCCCACCAGCACATGCAAAGCTGTAGCATCCCATTCCATGACGTTTCTCAAGGCTGATGGATTCAGTGTGTGACTCACAGCCTTTGCCTGGAGAGCTGGAAAGCTCAGACATTCAGAGCTCATCATTGGGTTAGTTTGTCATTTTCTGTTTGACATTTTCTCAAGCTACCAGAAAAAGAACTGTTAAAGTCTCTCTCTCAGTGATAAAAGCACAGGAGGACTTGTTTGAGATCATGACCTCATTTTCAACTCTGAGAACAGACAGAATTTATAAAATAACAACAAGGTAAAAAATTTTCATCACTCCCCTAAGCATCTTACCATCTAATTAGAGAACAAATGCCACACACTCAGAGTGTTAATGAAGGCCCAAGGCTCAGATTCTGAACTCGAGTAGATGAGAAAGGAAATGCTCCCGTGTGCCTTGGTTTCTCTGACAGTGTCACAGGGTTGGGTCTGGGCCCACAGGCCTTATTTCATCCACAGCTTCTTTTCACACATTTTTGCCAAAACTCTGATCTGCCAGAAGGTAGTGGGGATATTATATCCTGCATTACTGGGGTTTTTGCATGGGTAATCAAGGGTGTTAACAGTGACTAGAAGTGTCTTGTTGCAACAGCGCTTTGGTAGAAGAGAAAAGGGAGGGAGTCAGAAGCCTTTAGAGGATTAATCATTCAGCAGCTTTAGCTGGTGCAGAATACTTTTGAGGAGCAGCTCTTTGATGTTCTCACAGTATCATTCTTGGGGCTGAACTGTTAGTAAATAATTCCCACAGTGCATCAAGCACAAACATGCTTTCTCAGTGCATTTGGTGTAGCTGCTCTTCAGCAGTTATTACTGGAGCTCAGTTTACACTGGGCTGTGCCCTGTACTTCATGGTGAGACAGGAATCCCGCTGCACTCAAAGAGACTTTGGAATGGATTACAGCTGGAACGCTGAGCTGACAGCTGAGAGGAAGCCAGTTCAGCAGGCAGCTCTATGCCCTCTGTATCCACTGCATCTCCAAATGTTTTTATATTCTATAAAGGAGATCCAGGATGATTTTTTTTTTTCCTATGTAAATATGCAGCCCCAAATTTGGGCTATCCAGATTAGTGCTTACATTCAGCCCAGAGACTCCTGGTGTGTGGATATGCCCTTCAGGTACCCTTTGGGTAGAATATTCCTGAAGGTGCTAGTTCAGCCATCTAGAATAGCTGTGGGGGAAAAACACCCAACCCAACAGCTACATCCAAAATAATTTTGATAAAGAAAAATGCAGTGAAAGAAAGGGCGAGTTAAAAATTCTGAATGATACATCCAATTCAACTTAGTCATGTGCTAGTTTTAAGATTTTAATCCAGAACATGAATATAGGTTTCACAGCAGCATAAATCTAGTAGAAGCTATTTAGGTCTTTTTTTTCCCCTTAAGATTATGGTGATTGTTTTCTTACCTTCTATCTCCAGCTACATCTTCCCCGTGCATCTGTCACATACACCATCTTTTGACATTGACTGACTGACTTTTCATCCATACTCAGAATACCGTGACACGGGGAATGCTGTATTTGAGTAAAAACGGGCTGATCTGAGAGTTAAATGAGACTTTAAATGTTCCCCCAAAATCAAAGAGCCTCCTCTCCACACAGCTCCCCACCTGCCATCAGCGCTGATCACAAAACCTTCTGCAGATTTTGCAGAAGATGCCTCAAGCCTTGTCAACCGCGAGATGCAACAGAATCGTATTTCTGAGTTTTGCCTAAAATTAGGCAAACTAAGATTGAAGTCTAATGTTTGCTCCAAATCCTCTAGTTACAACCTGATCATTTTCTGCTTATCTGCACTTTCCTTTCTGGTAAACACAGGTAGTCCACCATAATCCCACTGACATCCAGGGAGTCACTCCAACTGCAGTGATGGGACAAGAGCATCTCTGTTCCTCTACACTGGAGGTGTTGCCTCTGCTTTCCATGAAGTTATTCTTTATAACTGCCTGCTCAGTGATCTAAGTGTGGGATAAAACTCAAGTTTTAAAAAATCACGTCTGGCAAAAAGAAATGCTGATGTATCGGAGAGGCCCTTTCCAGGAAGTTTTCCTGTAATACTTCAGGATGTGCTTTCAGATGGTAGCCCAGTGCCCACAGCTGTGCCTTGCTTTGTGCTGGGCAGTGGAATTCTGCTGGCACTGGGACTACTGATGATCTGAATGTGGAGGTTCAGGGTGAAAGGAACCAACACAGCTGTGCTCAGATCCCTCTTCTTGCCTCTTTTTCCTTCCTCGGGCTTTCCTTCCCTGGCCCCTCTTGCTGCACATGCCACAGGCACTGTCCACACAGTGCTACTTTCTTGGTAGTACAGAGGTGAGAAAAGGACAGGGCAGGGTGAAAGCCAATATATAAAATAAATGGAAAATATTCTTCTTGTTACGTGCTGCCAACACGCTTCCCCTCTCAATTGCCCATCAGTAATTTTATCAAAGCAGTGTCAGTGTCACTCTGTGCAAATATTTCAAGCTTGCTTTTTTTAAGAGAGCATTTTCATAAGAAGTCTATCAATAATTCTATTTCTCCCACAAATAACAGGCACCCCTGGCCTTTTACTCATCTAATGAATTTAAAATTTCGATCAAGAATCCTACCCTGGGCACACCTTGTGTAGCCAGGCAGGGTCCCTGCTAATTTCATTGACTTAGCTGTGGGTGGCCTGGGCTGGAGGCTCAAGGTGTGGCCCTGGTTGGGCTCAGGAGTTGTATTTAGCTTTACAAAGCTGCAGCCCCGCCTGGGCAGAGTCAACAGAGGCTTCAAGCTTTCAAACATTTACTTAGGTGCTTTGCACCGAGGCCAGCCGAGTGACTCAGAGCATGAAATGAAGCACAGATGTAGGTCTTAGCAGGAGCTGAGACTTCACCTTTTGAACCAGGACAGGCTGTGATGTACCCTGGGTGAGCTGAATAAATACTGTTTGCCTCAGTTTGTCTGGATGTAAAATAAGAGAGAGCTCAGTGTTGGAAAGTCCTCAAGATCCTTGGCTGGGAGTTATATTTTAAAAATTAAATTTGTCATTAAAGGACATGTTGCTAAGGGATAAATGGAAAGAAGAAAAGGTTAAAAATATGTACGGCATCCTATTCTCCATGGTTTTATGCTTACATTATTGAGTTCAAGCAAGGGGAATTACTTCTACTGGAGAAACTACTTAGGAAAAGAGCAGAGTTAGGCTCAATTAGTAAAAAGCTCTATATTCACACACTATATATATAGCTGTGTTGCCTTCAAAGGAGTGCTGTGAACACCTGCCTTGCTGTTTGCTGCCTGTTTGTGGTGTCTCACCCTCACTGCTGCAACTGCCATGGGCTGAGCTGGGAGCACCTGCACCAGCCTTAACTGTAACATTATACAGTTTGGTTTATTATTTGCTGCCACTGCTGAGAGACAGGACCATATTCACAATTATTTGAGTAAACAGTATTTATTAAAATCAAGATTTTTTTTTCCCCCCACACATACTTGTTATGGAGAACATCCCCTCTGCTTAATCTTACGATTGTGAATATACTGCCCGTGTGAATAACAGGGTCATCAAGACATCTACTATTTAGCAAGATGATAGGAATATTTTCAAATGTAGCAGGTGGGAGAAGTAGATGTATTTTCTGCGATTTTTTGGAAAAATTGGAAGTCTCCTGTCTTCAGAATATCTGGCAGAAATTTTCAGCTTTCAGAAATGGAATTTGAAAATGTTATCCATTTAGCTGATGAAAAAAAATGGCAAATTTTGAATAGAGCCAGAATTGTCAACAAACTTTTTTCAGGGCAAATATATGCTATTTATAAGGAGGTGTTTGTTTGTTTATTACAGACATGTTAGAAGACTCTAAATATCTAATACAATTAAATAAGCTTAGTCCACTTAAAATGCAAGCTATTGTTCTGGTATTTAGTAAGATATGGTGACAGTCTTTTCAACATAGTTGGGTTTGTCATCTTACCAGCATATTAAATATATTTTTGACTTGCATTTTGGTATTGTTTTACCTGAACAATGAAAGCCAAAGGTGGCAATCTCCTCTATTGCCATACATATGTTCCATCTACTTGGAACAGAATGTTAAACTTAATTCACCTATGTGCCAAGCCACTGGGGCAAAGCCAGGTTTGTAGAGAGATTATTCTTCTTGTTTAAACTTGTAGGAGAAAGACATGCAGGCTTTCAGGCTCTCAGTCCTTTCTGAAACTCAGAAAAGCCACCAGCCTGAAATAGAAATAGCAACCTCATGGGGAGGGAGGGTGAAAATCCGATTTCATGTTCATCTGTGTTGTGTAATTTCTTAAACCATATTTTCCACAGGCAGTCACAGCCTGTCCTTCCCAGTGTTTGCATTAACACCATTAATTTTATTGTGAATAGGTTCAAAATGGTAAGGAATTGCCATACTGTGGTAAAAGGATACAGGGTCAAGTAATAGCAGACTGAGTGGGCTGCTGAAAGCATTTTAGAAAGGGCAGTGCCCCAGTCCTGCAGCTCTTCCTACACGGGCACCCTCCAGGCACAGCACCAGGCTCAGCACCAGGCTCAGAGGAGCAAAGGGGACCCTCTGAGCTTCACTGAGCCCAACAGCCAAGCAGAAGTGGCACTGCAGGGAAGGAGATTGTACCTTCAAGGAAAACGGGATTAGCAACTAACCCGTGGCCTTTCCAGACTGAACCGACTTTATTTAATGAAAATGCAAATCATCCGTTGCCGTGTGAAAGTGAATTTACCGTGAAATTACTTTCAGATGGGGGAAAACCAGCTGCAATTTTTCCCAGTATTGTTTCTTACAGTCCTTGTAGGCACGGTTTTCCCACTGCCTGCAGGGAGAGCTGCAGCAGCCAGGAGTGAGCACTGGAGGGATTCATCCATCAGGTTTCCCTGACATTTGCTAGTCTTGCATCAGTTACTTCTTGTTGAGTGTATTCTGAACCACCCACAGCATTTTATGATTATAATTCTCAGGGGGTATTTTTCTCATCATTGGTCACAGTTTACAAATGGGTTTCCCCTCCTGGATCTCTTGAAACTGTGTGATTCTCCCTCTAAAATACTTATAACTACAATCTGCTTATTTCTCTTGGTTGTAACCAGAAACTGCACTTATTGTCTTCCAATATGGAAAATTTGACCCAAGTAGAACAGAGACACTCTGACCAAACCTGAAGAAGATGGGCTTGATCCTATCTCAGTACTGCCCTTCCCACCTGAACAAGTGATTAAAATTTAAGATGTAACATACTGGATGAAGATGATCATATTTTGTACTATGTACAACTCAGAAAACCTATAACTAGCCCCCTTTCATGAATAATTATTCATTTAATAAAAGAGTTTTAACTTGAGGAAAGCAAACAATGAGTAACAGCGACTCATACAGTTAATCAGGTAAGCTATGTCTACATCAGCCTGGCATTCAGCCAGAGTCAGAATTTGGGATGGGCCCAGAGTTTGTACTTGGCACTGACAGAGGCTTTATCTGTGGCTGTGAGACACTGCAGGAGGGTAAGCAGTTCTGCCTCAGCTTAAATTGCCATTTCTTACATATTGTCAATTGCTGTTCAATGCCAAATATGTTACATCCTGCACATTCTGCAATTTACAGACGGTCTAATTCTGCTGTAATTGATCAACCAAATAGAAAGTTTAACTCTATCAACAATGGCCAGCTTCCTATTGTAATATTATTAGGAAATTGGTGAACGTGACAAGAATATCCTCAGTGTGGACTGTGCCACTCCTCTAAGTCAGATCTCTTTACATCAAGTCTCAGCTGTAACACCAGGCAGGAGGATTGAACTCTTAGAAAAGAAATGTTAGAAACAGGATAAAACCAAACTGATTGATTCACAGGCACAAGCCTTGCTCCAGGGCATGGAAAAAAAATCCCAGTCATCTTCAAGGATGCTCTTACACTTCTAATCAGCATTTCTTATAGAGGAAGGTGTTGCTGACTGCTCAGCACCTGTCAGGACTGAGCTGATGGGAATTTGTACCCTGTGTGTTATGCTGGGAATGAATTCATATCCCCACCACAATGTAAGATTAACAAATAGCTCTTGAAGTTTGGGCAGTAGTGTGAGTACATAGAGGAAGTTACACATCCCATCCCTGACTCCTTCCAGGCAGACCAGGCTGCTCTGCAAGGTCTTTACAGCCACCTGAGAGGCTTGGGCAGTGGTTACAGCGTGGAGCTGTCTGGTTTGGGTGTCCCATACAATGCCCTTGTGCCTCCGTGCTGACACTCCAACCTACCACAGGGTCTCATTACACCCCTGGGGTAAAACACTGTTTGTCTTTGCAGCCTCTCGGGTGCTGGGGAAGGGCAGGGAGCATTTGCCTTTCATCTGTAATTGTTCTGCTTCCACAATGACAGCTGTGGGATGCCGTGAAATACCAATGCAAGTTTGCTGTGGCGAATTTCCTGCTGTATCAACTTTCTGCCAAAACACTCCCTGCTAACTTTGTGTTGATAGTCCATTGTCAGGCATCGTTCCTCTTACTGAGCCACCGAATCAAGGAGCTCTTGTTTGACCCTTAAATGGGGAACACATTGTCATAGGCAAGGGCGTCTCACCAGGAAAGCAGCCTTCACAATGGCAGGAAATGTCTGCCAGACAAGAGAAAAGGGAGCTGATCCAGGGGGTGCAGCGCTTGTGTGATTTTTGGACACCTGGTCTTTGCTTCACACTTCCTGTGTGACTTGGAGCAAATCCTTTGAGCATCTGAATCACTTTTGTGATTTTTCATCAGTTTCTGAAGGAATTCAGGATGCCAGTGGGATTTAGGAGCCCAGGCAATTTGTGCATCTGCCCCTAAATTTCACTGCATCCCAGTCCTTAGGGTAGGAGCACCAACATTACCTCCCTCCCTGGTCTGTAGTAAGGATAACCCTGCCAGATGTGACAAGACTCTTTGAGGACTTAAGGATATCTTAAATATAATTTCATAGTAATAAGAAATAAATATCTTACGGTGTGCAGCTGGCTCTCTTTGGCACTGTAGAAGCTCCACTGAATGAAGAAATTTCCCAGCGGTGCAGAACTCGTGTACGTGCACAGGAGGGTGACGTTTCCACCTGTGGTGACATTCACTGCCTGCTCGGGGACGGTCACCACAACGCTGCCAACGTGGCCTGTGGGCAGAAAGTGTGGTGAGGAGAGATCCCCCAAGGAGAGATCAGGCCCTGGGAGCTGTGCAGGAGCATCTCACTCCCTGTGTTAGCAAAGGAACCCATAGGACGGTCTAGTTGTTCTCCCTTTCAGTACAGTTTCCCTTAGGCTTCATGTGGAAATTTCAGTGGCAACAAGCTGGGAGTAGGTAAAAGCCAGCAAGCAAAGAAATCCCCCAGAATACCTGTGCCCTTACAACAAATAATCTGAAAAGGCAGAGTTCCTAAACCCGTACTTGCTCTCACTTGCAGATACTCATCTTCTCACTAAGAGCTTGTGGCTAAACCGAACCTTTCTTCTGCACGTGCAGTGCTCTCCTGCACTTGCACTCTCATTCACAGCTGTCTCTTGACCTCTTTTTCAGCCTTTTGGTTGTTTTTTTTTTTTTCTGTTATTCTTTTAGATGTCTGCTCTCCTTCATTATGGAGCACCATCACCTGTTGTGTCTTTCATTCTTACGTTCTCACTGGGACTCTGTGGCACTGTTGGGTCCCTCAGGCTGGAGCTGAGCAGCCTTTCTCTGCTTTTCTTTTGCTAATTACTTTGCTTTTGTTTAGATTTCTTAGGGCTGGTTTTTTTCTCCGCATCAAACTAAGCTTTTGGAATGTGGGTTGTGTGAAGTTCTGTGATAACTTGATCAACCCTTTCTGCTGTGGAGGGAGCAAACATAACCTGGGAGCCCTTCCCTGTAATGTTCTGTTCAGTCTTGAGTACACAGTCATAGAAATGAAACCTAAACTGTCAGAAACATGCATCTGAATTTCAGGGGTTTGTTGTAGGTCGCTGAGCCCAGTTTTAAAGCTACTTTCTAAAGATTCAGATGGAGAATCTATTTCTTTTGAGTGTGATGGAAGGCATAAGTCTTTCTGAGCTTTCTGTGCAAAACAGGCAAGTTGAGAATTTCATCTTATAATAATGTTCATGTGGGTTTCCTGCACGTATTAATGATAGAGGCAAAACCTGTAAAATATTCTTCTCAATGTAATAGATCTGTGCATTTCATGTTCAGATGCTGCTTTTGAGAGTTTAAGCAGAACCTCCAGTAATACAAAATGCTGAAATGATCAGCCCAGTGAGAGAAAACATTGTTTAAAAACCAAACAATCTATTTTGATATTTTTAACCATATAAATATTGCAGATTTTTCAGTTGCTACAGTATGCAAACCTATCTGAACTCTGGGTAGTATTTTCCTTGTTTGATGGCTTCAGTGGTAAAAGCTCACTGCAAGGAAGGAGGGGATAATCTACTTTCCATGTTGATGGAGCTAGGAGGAGAATTAGTGGGTTTAAACTACAACAAGATTTATATTTTAAGTGACGATAGTCTCACAGGAATGGCTGGAGACTGACCTAGATGTGTCAAACCTGCCTTGGGGAAAGAAGGGATCCCAGGGCTGGCTGCCAGTCCTACTTGTCTTGTGAGTTCACAGCAGCTTAATCCGTACTGAGATCTAATATAAAAGCTGTGTCATATTATTTTAGGTATCTCAGTTCACAGTTCTCAGCTTTAAGCATTAGTGTTGGCCAGAGGGTGATGGTTTCTTGCCACACAGTTTACACGTGTTTATTTTCTGCTCTTTGCAGGATTAAAGCTACAGTCGTGCAACACAGTGTTGTTCCACTGAAAACATCCATTTTCCAGTCATCTGCTCCACATATTTCCTTTATAATTCTCTGGTTTTAGAGTCAGGAGTGCCACAGAGCCTGACTGTTATAAGCTTTTCCGGATGAAATTTTTATCAGAGACAGGCATTCTAGTTTCCATAAAACTGTATATTTTGAAGAAAGACAATTAATTGAAATAGGCTTTGCTCTGGTAAAAAGATAAAGCCAAAGCCTATAAGACTGACCTTGTCCAGTGAGCTATTTAAAGCCAACACTAATTGCAAGATGGAGCTTTTGACTGACAGTGGAGTGAACTGGACCCACAGAGCCTGCTCCCTCATCACGGATCTTAACGGGAGTTTCGTGTTGGATTTAGGTTCACTGTTTACAGTTTCTAACCCCTAATCCCATTTCATACACACAGGCCTTTTGCTTTAAATGATAAAAGTGCATGAGTAAGAACTGGCTCAGTGGAAAAAGCTAGTGTGAACACGACCACGACTTGTTTAGAACAGTTGATCCATGTCTTTCACTCATCAATATTATTGTAAGGCCTTTTCCATCCTACAGAGAAAGTCTTTGCAGTTAATTTGGAATTCCCCACTTTCACTGAAGTCTTTAGCAGTGTTTAATGCTCATGAAGTAAATCCAAGTTTGCTGACCTTTTTCTAGCCACGACAGAAAGCCACAGTCAGTGGCACCCATCAGTCTGGACACGCTGCTAGTCTTAAATCCACAACTTTCGCATTAGAAGACGTTGTTTTGAAAAGTATTGGTACCAACTCTGAATTATTTTCCACTTCTAAGGCAAAAATCTGTTGGGTTTCTGTCTGTGTGAGAGTTAGAACACTGAAACTCCAGGAATATTAATATTTAATACTTAAAATATTTCTCTGGCATCCAAACCAGGTAATTCCATCTTGAAAAGAACACGTGGAAACTAACTTCCATTTTCTGTAGTGGAGACAGGGGCTGTTCATCTCCATGGAACATTAGACTTAAAATGCCTGCCTCTGTATATATTAAAAGTAAATCTTAGCACAATGAAATGTCCTTGAAACAGGAATAACATATAATCTTTAAACCTTAAAACACTTGAAAGACCCAAACGCTCCATGCAAGAACTCTTTGCCTCTTCCTGACGTTAGAGCAAAGCATTAATCCACCAAAGCTAAAATTCTGTTCTTGAGCAAAAGTATCTTACCAGGCAATGGTCAGTTTGCAGATTTCCACAAAATGGCCTGGAGTACAGCCATGAGTTTCATTCCATCCTGAAATAAATCCCCTTGAATGTTCTAGTTTGCTAGTCAGGTTCATCTGCTCCCTCACTTCAGCAAGCTCCTTTAGCCCAGTGCTATTTCTATCAGTTTGTTATTCTTACCTGCGAGGACAGCAAGAACTGAAAATATCTTCAGCATCGTTTCACGCATTGTCTTGGCGCTGGGAGAGAAAAGAGAGCAGATGCTGCTTCTGACCAGCACTGAAACTCAACTGTTTTATTTTTTTAAGTGGGTTTTTGTTTTCCTTATCAGCTGTGTATCACCACGTCAGTGAGCTGTTTCATACTCCTTTATCACATGTGTGCCTTTCTCCGACTAGTGGTGTGACTGTTCACTTGGAACCATTTTGTGGGGTTGGAGCAACTAAGGGGTCTGTTAATAATAAACCTTTGAATCAGAGAAGCCCAGGTTCCCCCACTTTTTGCCAGGGCCCAGCAGTACTTGTCCCCACCTAAGTAATTCCACTGAGTACAAGAAAAGTATTTGTGGAGCTATTTAACAGTCAATCTGATTACCAGTGTTGGAGTCAGGCCTAATATGAATAAGGAATAATCTTCATTTCCTGTTAATTCTATAATTTCTTTTCAAAAATGGGCATGTGGAGGTAATATATTGTCAGTACATTTTCATTTTAAAACATGTATCTTACACAGTTTTGTACAGAATGATTACATTGGACTCAGGATTGCTGTGAAACTTTAATATTGAACTCATCAATAAGAAAACATACCAAAATAAAGATCAAATTAAGGTTATCTTCGAAACTGATAGTAAAACCTGTTTCATCCAGTTTTAATCCATGAAGTTCAGTGATACTGATTAAAAAAGTGACAAGGTGAAAATGCTGATTTTTACTTAGTTGTTAATACTGGATTTATACAGTGAAAAAGCGGTGGGTGGAGGTTGGAATCTGTCAGTGTGTCCTCTAATTCCCTCTCATTTATCAACACTGAAGTCCTTTCTCTGGCACTTAAGGCCCCTTCAGCTAATATATATATATATATGTATATTTATTTTACCCTGTTACATTCTATTTTTGCCAATTACTACATTCCTCGAGGGTGAAATGCTCAGTCTGACAGAGAACAGGAGCCAAGAACCCAACTTCTGCACTAATCTGCGCACCTTCAAGCTTGGGACACAGGGCTGAGGTTGCCAATTACAGAGTGGGTGTGGCTCACAGCAAATGATTGCAACCATCCATCCTGTTTTACAGGGGATACTGAACACCAGGAGCATTTACATTTGACTATTACCCGCCTGGGGTCCATTTCCCATGTCAAACCAGAGGTGTGTACCCCAAGACTGACCTTCCCAGCCCTCCGGGGTTATTCTCTGTCAAGGTAATAGATGGCACCTGTCAGCTGCTGACTTTGCTTCTGGCTCATTGCTGCTGGAGAGCAGCACTGCCTGTTCACATGTCACCTGAGGAGAACTGAACACAGAAAGCAAAATCTGGTTTGGTTCGCTGATTTAAGTGACAGTGGGACAGCAGAGAAGCTCTTGCTTACACTGCCAACCCTCGGCTGAGAGGAGAGAACGGCCCCGAGTGCAGCAGCACAGCAGCCACTTGGCCATGGGTGGAGCAAAGACTCTTATCTGCAGATAAAACAGAAGTGGCCAGTACCAGGAACTGCGTGTTAACAGACTTTGTGAGTCAAATCTGTCTGTGAGTCAAATCTGTGTACACTGAAACATATTCAGAAATGTTCCCTTTCAAGCAACTCCCTGCTATTCACTCTCTAAATATAAGTGTCGGTCATTAAAAAATGAAGCCCAGAGGCCCACCCTGAGCAAGGCAGCATCATCCAGACAAGAATAGCCTGAATATTTAGGAATTGCTTCTGTTGACCTGAAACTTAATTAAAAAACTTCCTGTAGAATTCCATGTTTCACTCGACAAAGCTCAGCAGCATTTCAGCAGCTTTGTCTTCCTGAAATATGCTAAATCTGTAGCTGTGTGAAGACACCAAACCCAGCATAACCCAGTGATTTATAGAGCTCTGTAGTTCAGTATCACAGCTGATGGCTGGGGATGAAGAGAAGTGTGTAATTAAAGATTCAAACAGGTACAGTGAAAGAGCTGCTTTAAGCCTTTAAATCCATCATTAGGTTGATTTTCAAATGCACAATACAGTTTTCCTGCCTATTGCACAATTGTGGTCTAAAAAAATATTTATAAGCTTTTCTGCCTAAAAGTTAATTTGTGAACTCACTGCTATTTTTAAACTTGCAGAGAGTAAAAGAGTGTAAAGGTACCAATAATATAAACACTTCTGAGGAGAGCACCATAGCTTGTCACCTCAAATTAACTTGGACAGAAATACACCTAATCCTCTGTATTCAGTTCCCAGAATCAGCACAGCTTGTTATCAAAAAGCACAGTTCCATTTTCTTGTACAGGGTCTGGACTGGTCTTTTTTTTTATTTTCCGTTTTCTCACTCTGGAAAGAAGGTCTTCTTTCCTTTTAACCATTCAAAAACAAACAAACAAAACAGTTTCCTAGAGCAAACTCCCTGTCCAACAGGCTATCCAAGGCTATCCACTTTCTGGGATAAGGAAAAGCACTGAAATGAGGTAGAGCAGAACATTTATTGCCAGGAGATCAGAGAGCTGCAGGCCAGGCATCAGCACTTCGGGCACTTCACCCTGGCTGTGCTGGGGTTGCTGCTCAGAGAAGAGGGCTGGCACATCTGGTGCAGAGGGTGTCTTGGGGCAGCTGTTAATGCCCATTTTACATATACCCCTTGTGGGGCTGCCATGGCCAGCACCAATATTCTAACATTTTCCACATTTCTGGACTATTGCAGATGGGGTAACTTGAACATTTTAGATTGCTCAAAAATGTGGCAGTCAGTTAGTTCAGCAGGATATTGCTGAGAGCATGCAGAGTGCCAGACCTCTGCCATCTGATCTGGCCTGTCTGACAGACACAGATGATGGAAGAAGGTTTTTTATCTTATATCGCTTTAGGAAGCTGATGCCTGCTGTAGTCAAAGGGATTTGTTTGTGTACAACACATTGCAATAGAACTGTAACACCTGTACCCACAGCAGTGTGTATTTAGTCAGCAAGTCCCTTGTGAAATCATTGTGAATGTAAGCACCTGGATAAATTCGTGGATCTGGCTCAGGCCATTTGTGTTGCTGCTAACACTCCTCTGGTCTTCCCTGCCTTCTGTCCTGAGAAAAGCATGAAAAAGCAGAGAAGCAGCTGCTCGTGATGCTTCCCCAGACCTCCTGGGGATGCTGGTGTAGCATCCACGTAACCTGGAATTGGGCTGTCTTGGATTGTGCTGGACCACGATGATGGAGGTGCTGGAGGGAGTTTTGTCAAAGCAGCAGAGTGATGGTTCTGCAGCACTTGAGGAGTTACCACAAATGGTAAGTTTTAACCCCTTGTGTGCAGGTGAGCTGAGCACCACGAGTGCCCTGGCTGATGGAGCTAAAGGATGACTTTCTAACAGAAAGTGCCCACCATCAAAGAATCCATTTATGTGCTGTGGCTCAGGTGTGAAAACCAAAGCAAGCTCTCCACTGCATGATAAATCACAGTAGAATGGTTCTATCTTTGTACAATTGCTGTTTGCTTGGATTTGCATTGGCTGCATCACTTTTTCCCTGCATATGATTAACTCTCCACGTTATGTCTTATTTTTTCTCCCCTTTTGCTTTTTCACGTGGTTTCAGAATTGAAACTAATCAAGCAAAAAAAAAAAAAGGAAATTCACAGTGAGGATCTGGGGATTAAACTGTCAACCTTATCAGAGGGAAAGGTCTTTTTTCTAATCATTGTTTGCATTTTCATAGGTTAACAATTTTTGCAGCTATTAAATGATATTGTTCCTTCAATTTGGCAGCATTTGTTGTACTTGTCTAAAATGAAAAATGCTTTCAGCTTAAGAGTGCATGGAACTGTATAATTTGTATGGTGGCTGCCTTAACAGGTATGATAATGTAATTCTAGGATTACTCTGCCAAATTAAAACCTGGCATAAAATTCATGCAATTGGGCTGAACACTAGGCTTTCCAGCATCTCCTGCTGCCTCTGAAATGGAGGGTTCAGGTGGATTGGTGTTAAAAGGATGTGTTTCATGCTTTCAAACACACCAGTTCATGCTGTCAAATGAATACAAGGTGATCTCATTCTTTATTTTAAAAAATAGCTGGTTTTTAATTCTCACTGTTTCAAGGAAATGCTTGGACATAAGAGGCCTCAGTGCTGACCTCAGCTGCTCCCTACTCCATGCAGGGAGGAACTGCTGCAAATCTCTTTGCTTTTGGCACGTTCCAGGTGAGAAGAGAGGCTAAAGCAGCCTGTGTGTCTGAGCATTGCTCTGCCTGCCCAGGTTTCACCTGGCTGTGAATCCTTTTCATTGGAATTCACGTAACTGGCAGAGGGAATTGAGAAGCTCTTTCTGTGTCCAGGCTCTGCAGCTCGGCTGCCCTCTGAAGGAACCTGAGTTTAGTGAGACTGTGTGGCCTTTTCCCTGGGGAGGCGGACTAATATTTCCATATGCCATTAATTATTAATTAATGGTTGTACAGCTCGTTCTGCCTCAGCTGCCCTTCTCCTGGCATGTGTGCCATGGGGTCCCTGGTGGCAGCTGGAGCCTGGCTCTGCCAGTTCCCTGCACTGCTCCAGCACCGGCTCCTCGAGGGGGATGTGATGGGGCATTTTCCTTGAGAAACTCTGGATTCCTGGAAGCTGGGCAGTGCCTTGGAAACGCTGCAGTTCGGTAAGGTGAGCGAGTTAATGTGAAGTGAACCAAGAGCGACTGCTTGCATAGTGCCTTTCTTAATGAGACTTTTCCTTTTGATTGCCAGGAGCTTCCTACTGGGAGAAGGTTACTTGTTTACTTGGTTTTAATTCTCAGGAAAAATGATAAGATGCTTCCTTTCCTGCTTTGTTAATGATCTCATTAGAGTTGTCTTAATTGTTTTCATTACATTGAGTATGGCAGCACAATGATGTGGTGAAGTTGTGGAGCAGAGGATCAGCAATCCTGAATAAAAAACAGTGTGGAAGACCAGCTGAGATAAACCTAAGCACTTGTTTTGTCCTGCTTTTGATTTGCTTGTGGCAGGCAACCAAAGTTATTCATCAACTGATCCTGTAGCCCAGCAGCTTTGTTAC